ATTGAACATTAATTTATGCATTTCTGCATAACACAAATAGTATTATTTTCAACACCCTTTGCTAGGTCACCTGAATTTAGCTTTCATAAATATTCATTTTGAAGCCAGACAGCCGAAATTGTGTGCTCGGAGTTTTGGGTTAACATTCATTTTGAAGATACGAGCGCTTCCAGGCACGTTTATGACATTTGCCCTCATTGCGTGCCATAACAGCTCGTGTGATGAATTTGGGACACTTTTTCACTATAACATGAATATATGAATAAGTATAGACGTGTTAGTCACGTGTGACTGTATATATGCATTCCTCTGTGCATCGATACTGACGTGTAGATGGTGTGGATATTATTTTTTTCTCTCTGCAGCTGTCGCTTCCTCTGCAGAATTTTACTGATGGAGCAAAGGCACTCAGTGCAGCTCGGTGCAAAAAGGCATCAATGCGACCGGTGTCCATACAGCACGGATCGTACTGAACATTTGACATTGCACCAGAGAACTCACACAGGGGAGAAACCCTTCAAGTGCAGTGTGTGTGGGAAGGCGTTTTCACGTTCATCTACTCTTGTAACACACCAGAGAACACACACGGGAGAGAAAACCTTCAAGTGCAGTGTGTGTGGGATGCGTTTTCAGTCACCAAATCTTCAAAGACACCAGAGAAGACACACGGGAGAGAAACCCTTCAAGTGCGGGGTGTGTGGGAAGGCGTTTGCACAGTCACCACATCTTCATGTACACCAGAGAACTCACACAGGAGATAAACCCTTCAAGTGCAGTGTGTGTGGGAAGGCGTTTTCAGTTTCATCTGCTCTTGTAACACACCAGAGAACACACACGGGAGAGAAACCCTTCAAGTGCAGTGTATGTGGGAAGGCGTTTGCACATTCATCTACTCTTGTAAAACACCAGAGAACACACACGGGAGAGAAAACCTTCAAGTGCAGTGCGTGTGGGAAGGCGTTTTCACAGTCACCAAATCTTCAAAGACACCAGAGAACACACACGGGAGAAAAACCCTTCAAGTGCGGGGTGTGTGGGAAGGCATTTGCACAGTCACCACATCTTCATGTACACCGGAGAACTCATACAGGAGATAAACCCTTCAAGTGCAGTGTGTGTGGGAAGGCGTTTTCAGTTTCATCTGCTCTTGTAACACACCAGAGAACACACACGGGAGAGAAACCCTTCAAGTGCAGTGTGTGTGGGAAGGTGTTTGCACATTCATCTTCTCTTGTAACACCCCAGAGAACACACACAGGAGAGAAACCCTTCAAGTGCAGTGTGTGTGGGAAGGCGTTTTCACAGTCATCAACTCTTCATGGACACCAGACAACACACAAGCATCAGAAGATCAACAAGGAGTGGAGTCTGAAATCAGCTTGTGAAAGTCAAAGTGCCGCAATGAGCCCATCCCTCATGAAACAAGAACCGGAAGAAAATCCCAGCTTGGACACTTTTAAAGATATCGAGGTGAAATATGAAGAGGTGAAGGTGAAATGTGAAGAAGTGATGGTGAAGAGTGAAGAAGTGATGGTGAAGAGCGAAGAAGTGAAGGTGAAATGTGAAGATGAAGATTCAACTCCACAATGGGACCTTCATATCGATGGAGGCTCATACCCGAACCGCTCCTGGGCCTCCCTTTCGCCAACCCGCGTGCTCAAACATGCGCCCCCCCGTCTCGAGAGAAGGGGCTGGCAATTTCAAATTAACATCGTCCAGACAAATCGCAGCGGCGTACGCAGCCGCTGCAAGAAAACCTGACAGTTTTTTCAGCTCTCCTTTAACGAACACGTGGAAGTTATCGAACAGTGACATTTTATCTTTCCAAACATCGCCAGGCCCCTCGGTGGACATCGACGGTGAATCGCCCCGCCGGCCGTCCCGAGTTCTCGCCGCCGTCCGTCGTCGACCTCGGCCTGGCGGAGAATCTCGGCGCTGCGGGCGCCCTCCTCGACTCCGGCTCTCCCTGCCGCGGCGCCGAGTCGCCCTCTGGCCTCCGCTCGAGCCGGCGCCCCGAGCGCGAGCCGGGGCCGCCCCTCCCAGCCGGCGCTCGCATCGGACGGCGGCGCTCGCACGCGCGAGAGACGCCCCGTTTACCGTGCGAGCGGTGAACGGGGCGCACCTAGCCTGGTGCGAGCGCCGGAGGCCACTGCGCTAGTAGTCCGGCTTCGGCCGTGCCCTCCTCGCGGTCGAGCACGCGGCCCGAGGTCCGGCCGCCGGCCTCGCGTTTCTGTTTGTCGTCGTTCAATTTCCGCCCGGCAGGTGCGCCGGTCCGGTTCCCGTTCGCGTGCGCGTGGGGTGCAGCGAGCGAGTGAACGCCGCACGGCGGAGGCGTCAGGGAACGGGGGTCGTCGTTTATTGTGAAACCGTTGGGCGGTGGATCGCGTAAGTGTACACACGTGGGCACACCCACGCACACCTTTACATAAAAGCCGCTTCTTATCGCCCTCCATCACGCGGTCGGGGGTTGGGGGGGCGGGGGGAGCGGCCGCACTTAAAGAACACAGGAGGGGAATTACAAGAAGACTACGACGCTCAAAATACTTTCATAATCGTCACAAAAAAAATCATCAATAAAATCAGACTGCTGTGAGCTACTGCACGCACCTAGCTGCCAGGCAAATGTTGGATTTGGTTGCCAGGAAACTGTAATTGTTGCCAGGGCAACCGTGTGAAAAGTTTTTTTTGGTTTGGCCATGTTTTTTCTGTTGTAGTACGGAGTTAGAATGATGGCTTTAAGTTGTCTTGTTGTTGTTGTTTGACTTGCATCCCGCTGGGATTTTTGCACAGAGCGTGGGAGTACGGTGCTTTTCGTGGAAGATTTTTGCTGGTTTTTTTTCCCGGATTTTTCTGTTTGCGCATAGTCACTTTAAGATGTTTTCATGTTCACGTTTTATGTTTGTTGCGGTTGCACCCGATCAAAAAAATGAAAAAAAAATCAATCGTGCGCCGCGCATGGCGCTGGTTAGAGCCCTGCGAGTCTCGATATGAGGGGGTGGTGGTGGTGGTGGTGGTGGCGGTGGTGGTTCTGTAACCGCGAGCGTGGTTCGCTCACCGAGCGTGGTTCCATTACGACGCGAGGGCCTCTAGCACCACGGTCCAATCGGTGTCGGCGAGCGGCTCACGTCGACGTGGTGACGTCGCCACGCGCAGCTCCATCGCCGTGGTTTAACGTTGCCGCTGGTTACGTCGCACCGCCGTGGCGGCTACGTCACGGCGAGCTGTTCCGCCTGGCTCTGTGACGGCGAGTGGTTCCGCCTGGCTCTGATGGCAAGCAGCTCCGCCAGGCTCTGTGACGGCAAGCGGCTCCGTCTCCGCGGGGCGCGGTTGCTGCCACGGCCGGCTCACCGCCCCCCCCCCCCCGCCATGCCCCCTGGCACGGCAGCTCTGCTGAGCCGGCGCCCAGTGCTGAACCCAAATAGGCACTTAAATAAATGTTGTACTCCGCACGTTAACAGCCACAGAGGCCGAGCTCAAATCAACATGGTTATTATTTTTTTAATATATAAATCTTATATTTCCACAGCGCTGAAAACGGGGCAGGAGGCCTCATTGCTTGCTGCCCCAACTCCACCGCCTAAAAGTGATTAGTCGTGATTAGTCGTGATTAGTGATTAGTCGTGATTAGTGATTAGTCGTGATTAGTCGTGATTAGTGATTAGTCGTGATTAGTCGTGATTAGTGATTAGTCGTGATTAGTCGTGATTAGTCGTGATTAGTGATTAGTCGTGATTAGTCGTGATTAGTGATTAGTCGTGACTAGTCGTGATTAGTCATTAGTCGTGATTAGTCGTGATTAGTGATTAGTCGTGATTAGTGATTAGTCGTGATTAGTCATGATTGAGTCGTGATTAGTGATTAGTCGTGATTAGTCGTGACAAGTCGTGATTAGTTGAACCATTCAAAACGCAGGCGGTGGCATACCACAAGTTGGCACATCACCGCCTGCTGGCAACCACGTCTGTCGGTAGAGCCCCGACACTCCCTCCCCCCTCCCACCCCCCGGCTGACGTGATTGGTTGGTACAGTCCCATAAACTCATTATCCATGCGACTATACTGGCAGGGGCGGGGGTGGGGTAAGAGGAGAGACGTCATTGTCTCGGCCAACGATGGTTCATGAGGCTGGAGTTGTGGAGTACGTGGGGGAGGAGGGGGCACCTGGGAACCCACGGGCAGCAGCGTCACTTGGGGGAGTCGCTCCGACGTACCGACTGGAGCGTTAGCGACGGCGCTCGCTTAAAATCGCTCGCCCGCCCCTCCCCGCTCACTCACCCCGCCCACTCGCCCCTTTTTAACCGGCGGCCGTGGTTTTTTGCGGTTCAGCTCGCGGGCGGGCGGGCGGGCCGGCCGGTTTCGTCTCAAACCAACGTTCAGCGTCGCCAATTCGTCGACGAGGAACCTCCCCTCGTCCAAGGTCGCGACGCGGATTTGAGAAAAAGCCGTCCATGAATTTCTAAACGCATCGTAAACCCGACGCGGGATCGGCTTCGTCCGTACCCGGAGATCTGGAACCGCGTCGCCGCAAGCACGCCCACTTCCTCCCGTTCCTGACATCGTGAACCAACGCAGATTTCCCCTCGCCGGGGGGGGGGGGGGGAGGGACCACAGCGGCGTCGCCCTGGTACCACGAAGTCGTTACACGTACCGTCGCCTCGTCCTCCAGTCGGGTTATACCTCCTCTCCCCCAACCCCCCCAAAAGAAGCAAAAAAGGAGTAGCCTCCAAACTCAAAATTGCTGCTAGCGGGCAGGCGGACAGGCAGGCGGACAGGCGGTCAGGCGGGCAGGCGGACAGGCAGGCGGACTGGCTGGTGGATCGGCAGTCCAGCCGGTGCTATGCGGTGGGCGGCCGGTCACGGGGGTGTTCTGGTGGGTGGGTGCTGGGGGGGGTGAGTGGAGGTGCACGGGGGGGGGGGGGAGGGGGAAATGACGACGAGGAGAGAGTGGGGTTGAGAGTAGTAGGTGGTGGTGGTGGGGGGCAGGGTGGTGGTGGTGGGGGGCAGGGTGGTGGTGGGGGGTCTCAGTCGTCACAGCCGCCGCCGTACATGTCGGCGAGCTTACGGAAGCGCGGCCCCCACGAGTTGAGACGCTCGTAGTAGTCGTAGTCGTCGTGGTGGTCGTCGTCGTCGCCGCCCCCCCCCGCGCTCGAAGAGCCGAGCGAGCTGAGCGAGCTGAGCGAGCCGGCCAGGGAGCCGTCCCCCTCGTGGTGGAACACGTGCAGCGAGTCGTAGGGCGGTGTTGTCGTGTCGTCGTCGGCCGTGCGCAGGCCCTGGAAGCCAGAACACCACCACCACCGCCGCCGCGGGAGACAGACGGTGACGTTAACGACGATGACGTCATCGACGTCGACAGCCAATGATGACGACGACGATGACGTTTGTGACGGCATCAGCAACGATACAAACGTCGGCACCGATGATGACGTCATCGACATCGACAGCCGACGACGATGACCTAACGACAAAATTTTGCCATGGCATCAACAACATCGGCGATTACGTCGCCAGCAACGACGTCGTCCACCATTAAGACGACATCGTCATCATCTGCACGCTGTGCACTGTGTGGTGGAGCGGTGGTGTAGTGGTCAGCGCCCCGCACTACGTACGTGTCTACGTAGAATTTCCACTGCGCCGTACGTAGCCAACTGCGCTAATTGGGGGCGTTACGAATCCCGGCGGCCCGAATTGGATCCCCGTTCACGAGCAAACAATGCGGTGACGATTATCTGACCCGGTCCTGGGCCTCCCCCCTAGCTCGACTCCGCCTCAATCGAGTCCCCGGGCGCGGCGTGTCAACATCGCCACTGGGGGGGGGAGACAAAGACGGCCAGCGGGCATGGTGCCGGCCACCCACCCTCCTCCGTGCGCCGCTCCTCGCCAACGGGACCTTTGTCTCATGCCACGTGCATCGTTTGACGGGGCGGTGGCGGCGGTGGTTCACGTGCGCGGCGCTGGGTTTGGTCGTGCGCGGTTCCATCCCCTACGTGCGTGCGGCGTTTGCCACCTCTCCCACCCACCCACCCACCCCCCCCTACCACCCACCTCGCTGATGAAGTCGCCGATGTCGCTGGGGTGCGGGTAGCGCGGCTCGGCCAGCGACGGCCGCTCGTCCAGGTGGCGCACGCCGGGGCCCTCGCGGCGCGGCGCTTCCGGCGGCGGCAGCTCGCTCGGGAGCCGCAGCAGCAGTAGCAGCGCCTGGTCGTAGTCCTGCGGCGGCAGACCGCGCCGTCATCTCGCCGGCGCGTGGGCACGCAGGGCGCTGCCGCCACCGCGAGAGGGTCTCTCGCTGGACAGTCAAACCGCAACCACCGCCACACTGCCGTCTCTCCGCACCACCGCACCACCGCACCACCGCTTAAACGCACCGCGCAGATGTGCGAGCACGCCTCTCACCCGGTCCTCCTCTCCCCCGCCCTCGTCGTCGTCGTACGTGAAGACGTCGCCGCCCTCCTCCTCGTCCTCGGGGTCGCAGAGCGGTTTCTCGTCGCGGCGCCTCTTGCGAGCGACGAAGAGCGGCGCCAGGACTGCACGTGGGGGGGGGGGGGGCGACCCGCCCCGGTCAAACCGCGGAAATCCTCCGCGAACGAACGGAGATCTCGCCGCACGAATCCCCGCGCCGCCGGGGGGGGGCCCCGCGTCCGCAGCACCGGGTCCCCCCGAACGATACCGACGGCTATTATATTATTAGCTCTTTCGGTAAAGTGACGTTGAAGGAAAACAATAAAATATATATAAAATACAAATTCTCACGACGTTTCGACCATAACACAAACGGTCGTCATCAGGTGTGTCCGTTTGTGTTATGGTCGAAACGTCGTGAGAATTTTTATTGTTTTATATATATTTTATTATTTTATTGTTTCCCTTCAACATGGTGACTTTACCGAAAGAGCTAAGAATATGAATCGCTGCAGTCACGAAAGCTTTAAATCAAAAAGATGCCGACGACGACGACGTCAAACTCACCGAGAAGCAGCAGCAGCAGGCAGAGGAGGGCGGCCTCGGCGCCGGCGGCGTTGAGGCCGCCGGCGGCGTCGCGGCCGACGCAGTCGCCACGCCGGTCGCAGGCGCACACCTTCACCTGGAGCTCCGACACGGCGCTCATCGCGGGGTTGCCCGAGTCCGTGACGAGCAGCGGCACCAAGTAGAGGCCCTCGGGCAGCGCCGTCTTCATGCGCAGCTGCGAGCCGCCGCCTGCGGGGCAGGAGGGGAGGGGAGCGGCGAGCGGAGAGATGTCGCGCGGTGCGCCGAGGGCGGGGTGGCGGGCACATCGTGACGCGGGGAGTCGCGCCGGCGACGAGAGTCGACGACGCGGCTCTCGGCCGCGTCCCGGTCCGCCCGCTCGTTCGGAAAGCGCCGGCGAATCCGGAGGGGGTCGGGGGCGGCGACGTTTTCCCGGCTCTCGTCCGACGGGTCGCGAGGTGCGGGTCGACGACAATGGACCGGCGCGTTCGGTTGTTTTGGAGCGGTGGCCTGGGGCGAGGACGAGATTTTGCGCGTTGCGATGCCGCACCCCGCCGCCGCCGTGTTTGATCCATCAACGTGGCGGGATTTGGCGACTCTGCCTTACGGCTCAAGCTGGGGGGGGGAGGGGGAGAGGGGGAATGGGGATCCGTCCGGATCGGAAAAACCCGGAAAATATTTTCGTACCCGGCACACCATGTCCAGTATACCACTGGCTCCTGCTCAGCTGCGTGCCACCCCCACGCTCAGTCGGTTCACGAGAAACAACGAGATACTGGGTGAGATAATTACGAAGTAATCCTTGAGTAGGGCGCTGGGTTTTGCTGCTACGCTGCCCTCTGCTGACAACACAGGCCAAGAGCAAGGTGGGGGCAGAGCGGGACAGGGTAGGGGGCAGTGCAAGCGTAGGAGTCATGGCGAGCGAGTGGGAGCAGAGTGATTGCTGAGTGATGGCAAGCGAGTGAGTGATGGTGAGCGAGTGATTGCTGAGTGATTGTGAGCGAGTGATTGCTGAGTGATTGCTGAGTGATTGCTGAGTGATTGTGAGCGAGTGATTGCTGCGTGATTGTGAGCAAGCGAGTGAGTGCGGTTTGCTGTCCGCACAGCCGGACGTGGCAGTGTGGGTGGCGCAGTGCAAGGGCAGCGTGGGGGGGGGGGGGGGGTGGTGGAGGGGCCCCCCACACACCGTCCACCCGGTGGATGGTCCAGTTGTCGTCGGCGGCGGGGTTCCCGGGCGCCAGCCGGAAGCCGAAGGGAGCGCCGTTGAAGTCCTCGTCGGCGTCCCTGGCGGTGACGTCGACGGCGCCGCCCGGCGCGCCGCACACCGCGGCCTCGTCGGGCCGGGCGACGGGGGCGTTGTCATTGACGTCCGACAGCAGCAGCGCCAGCGTCCCCGTGCCGCTCGCCACGGGGTCGCCTGCTCCCACCGGCACGCCGAGACACGAAGAGCGAGATCCCCGCACGCCCCCACCACTCGCCGGCCTTCTACAAACCAGCGAAGGTTCGGCACGGCAGCCTTTGTCTCCCCAGTGAGGATGTTTACACACACACACACACACGACACCTCTGTCTCCCCAGTGAGGATGTTTACACAGACACACACCTCTGTCTCCCCAGTGAGAATGTTTACAGACACACACACACACGACACCTCTAGTCTCCCCAGTGAGGATGTTTACACACACACACACGACACCTCTAGTCTCCCCAGTGAGGATGTTTACACACACACACGACACCTCTGTCTCCCCAGTGAGGATGTTTACACACACACACACACAGCACCTCTGTCTCCCCAGTCAGGATGTTTACACACACACAGCACCTCTATCTCCCCAGTGAGGATGTTTACACACACACACGACACCTCTGTCTCCCCAGTGAGGATGTTTACACACACACGACACCTCTGTCTCCCCAGTGAGGATGTTTACACACACACACGACACCTCTGTCTCCCCAGTGAGGATGTTTACACACACACACACCTCTGTCTCCCCAGTGAGGATGTTTACACACACACACGACACCTCTGTCTCCCCAGTGAGGATGTTCACACACACACACGACACCTCTGTCTCCCCAATGAGGATGTTTACCCACACACACACGGCACTGGGTACTCTTGTTTGAGGCCGAGTCAACCAAGGGGAGACCGATTCGGATAATAATCGTCATCAATGTTGGGCGTGAGCGGGAATCGAACTCGGCTTGCCGGGTTTGTAATGCAGCGCGCCGACCCTTCCACCGCCGCTCCAGACGTGGACTGGTTACACAAACATACCACACCAGGGACGCATTGTAAGGCTGAGTCTACCTACAGACGCACCCCACTCACTCATTTTGTGAATTGCACCTTTAAGGAGAAGCCACACACGCCAATCGAAGGTGCGGGAAATGGCGAACGAGCGCGGCGCGACGGTGAGTGAGTGATGGCGAGTGAGTAAGTCAGTGATGGTGAGTGAGTGATCGTGAGTGATGGTGAGTGAGTAAGCCAGTGATGGTGAGTGATGGTGAGTGAGTAAGTCAGTGATGGTGAGTGATGGTGAGTGAGTGATGGTGAGTAAGTCAGTGATGGTGAGTGATGGTGAGTAAGTCAGTGATGGTGAGTAAGCCAGTGATGGTGAGTGAGTGATGGTGAGTAAGTCAGTGATGGTAAGTGAGTGATGGTGAGTAAGTCAGTGATGGTGAGTAAGTCAGTGATGGTGAGTAAGTCAGTGATGGTGAGTGATGGTGAGTGAGTAAGTCAGTGATGTTGAGTGAGTGATGCTGAGTGAGTGATGGCGAGTGAGCAAGTCAGTGATGGTGAGTGATGGTAAGTCAGTGATGGTGTGTGATGGCGAGTGAGTAAGTCAGTGATGGTGAGTGAGTGATGGTGAGTGAGTAAGCCAGTGATAGTGAGTGATGGTGAGTAAGTCAGTGATGGTGAGTGAGTGATGGTGAGTAAGTCAGTGATGGTGAGTGAGTGATGGTGAGTAAGTCAGTGATGGTGAGTAAGTCAGTGATGGTGAGTGAGTGAGTGATGGTGAGTGAGTGATGGCGAGTGTGTGATGGCGATTGAGTAAGTCAGTGATGGTGAGTGAGTGATGGTGAGTGAGTAAGTCAGTGATGGTTGAGTGAGTGAGTGATGGTGAGTAAGCCAGTGATGGTGAGTGAGTAAGCCAGTGATAGTGAGTGAGTGATAGTGAGTGAGTGGTGAGTAAGCCAGTGATAGTGAGTGAGTGATAGTGAAGTGATAGTGAGTGAGTGATAGTGAGTGAGTGGTAAGCCAGTGATGGTGAGTGAGTGATAGTGAGTAAGCCAGTGATGGTGAGTGAGTAAATCAGTGATGGTGAGTAAGCCAGTGATAGTGAGTGAGTGGTGAGTAAGCGTGGTGTGATGACGAGTGAATAAGCGAGTGAATGTGGTGTAGCTGGGGCGTGTCTGTAAACAGGGTGGGGGGGGGGGTGGTGCATTGTGGGGGCAGCCCTCACCGTCATCCGTGGCCAGGAAGGTGGCCGTGTAGGTGTTGCCCTGCACCAGGGCCGCCTCGCGGTCCAGCACCACGGCCGTGGTCACCTTGCCGCTCACGGGGTCGATGTCCAGCCAGTCGCCCGGCACCCAAAGCTTCTTGTAGCTGCGCGCGGCCCCATCACACAGACACACGTGCACACAGGTGAGTCACACACACAGGTGAGTCTCACACACAGGTGAGTCTCACACACAGGTGAGTCACACAGTTGAGTCTCACACACAGGTGAGTCACACAGGTGAGACTCACACACAGGTGAGTCACACACAGGTGAGTCACACACAGGTGAGTCACACACACACAGGTGAGTCACACACACAGGTGAGTCTCACACACAGGTGGGTCACACAGGTGAGTCTCACACACAGGTGAGTCTCACACAGGTGAGTCACACACACAGGTGAGTCTCACACACAGGTGAGTCTCACACACAGGTAAGTCACACACACAGGTGATTCTCACACACAGGTGAGTCACACACAGAGGTGAGTCACACACAAAGGTGAGACTCACACAGAGGTGAGGCTCACGCAGAGATGAGTCACACACAGAGATGAGTCACACACAAAGGTGAGTCTCACACAGATGAAGAGGTGAGTCACACACAGAGGTGAGTCTCACACAGAGATGAGTCACACACAGAGGTGAGTCACACACAGAGGTGAGTCTCACACACAGGTGAGTCTCACACACAGGTGAGTCTCACACACAGAGGTGAGTCACACACACAGCTGAACAGAGTTCACACAGGCAATTCACACAGCTTAGTGTCACACAGCCGAACAGAGTGAGTCACACACAGGTGAGGCGCACACACACACGGAGGGCGGGAGGAAGGGTCGGCTGCCGGCTGTCCGGGCGGCGACGGGAGCGGCCGGGGGGAGTGTGGCTGGGGAAGGCCTCACCGCACGGCAGCGCGTGACAGACCCCCCCCCGCCACCGCCCTCCCCCCACCACCGCCCTCCCCCCACCACCGTGCCCCCCCCCCACCGCCCCCCCCCCCACCACCGTGCCCCCCCCCACCTTGACGACGTAGAGCCTGCCGTCGTTGGTGCGGGGGTCGGTCTCCACGGCGAAGTTCTTGCCGGGGTCCCCGCCGCGGACGACGTAGCGAGTGCGCCATGCCGGCGTGCCGGGCTCGTCCACGTCCGTCGCCGTCAGCGTCGTCACCGTCACGTTCACCGCGTTCTCGCGCGCCGTACCGCTGAACTGCGGCGGAGACGGTGGTGGGGGGGGGGACGTCGTCAGATTCATTGTTCCGCCAGTCTCAAAAATAAAAATATTTTACCAGGTGAGGCCCCACAGCACAGAGCTATGCAGCTCTGTTTTTAGAAGCAACCTAGCCATCAAATGGTAGCTCAGCGAAGTGGCTCATCATCACGTGGAAATGTACACAACAGCTTTGAACGCAAGACCACCACGGGGAGAACATTCAAATTACAAATATACACGCGTCAGGGTCAGGATCAAACCCACGACCTTCCGCATACCGCACAAGGAAGTGAACATCTTGCCAACCGGGAAATGTTAGTCGATGGCGAATGTTAATTTAGAGGCAATGTAAGTCTACGGGCCATTTTCGTCTAAGTGCAATGTAAATCTACATGCAATGTTAATCTACGGGCCATGTAAAGTCTAGGCGGGTGATCTGGTGGCGCGGCGTGGTTGTGTGCGGCGGCGGCGGTGCGTACGGTTATGCCCGTAAACTCGGGGGCATTGTCGTTTTTGTCGGTGATGGCGACGATGGCGGTGGCCGTGTTTGCGAGGCCGATGTCCGGGTCGCCCTCCATGTCCAAGGCCTGCACCACCAGCACGTACTGCGGCGTCCTCTACACAGACGGGGCACGCAGACGCACGACTCTTACAGATGAACAACAAAACGACGAGGACAAGCATTCCTCGTGCAGCCTCGACAGACCTTTGTGCTGGGTGGCCAGCATCACGCCCGGCCGCCTTTGTCTCCCTAGTGGGGATGTTTTCACACTGCAGCAGGCTACTCATTTGAGGCCCGAGTCGACCGTCACCGGTGTTGGACCGGTCTCAGGTCCCCGGGTTCGTAGCGCGGCGCGCTAGCAGCGTCACCGTCGCTTCCGAGACACAGGGCACCACACAATACGAGGTACATGGTCAGTAGAAATACATATATTTCATTCTATCTATGCTGGTATGTGCAATCCAAAGGTTGAACACGAAATTTAACGCTCTTCTGAAATTCGTGGTCCGCCAGGAAGTGTCTAACTGTGTTGTTGGCCTGACTGGATGTGCTTCACATGTTTTTTCAGGTTTGTTGAATTCTCATCTCTCATCTCTTTGCTGTATTTACCTCCGCGATTTGTTCTTGACACCTGATGAAGATCGCTTGCATTGTGATCGAAACGTCGCGATTGTTTTTTTGTTCTAATATAATTTTATTGTATTTCTACGTACGTGACTTTACCGAAAAAACCAATGAGTAATTTTATGCAGCCACGAAAGCTTTAATACTTTATTAGGGCACCACACAATATCAAGAAGCCACTGTAGCTGTGCACTTTTAAATCCAGACTGAAAACTCGTTTCTTTAGAGCTGCTTTTCGTGTCGAGCCTTTCGCCCTTCCCTCGCACCTCCGATCAGCGCGGTCGCCTGCGTACGGCGCGCGACTTGACGTTCAACGCAACGTGCATACACGACTGAAAACACGCGAACGTAACACCGTACACACAACCCCGGAGGTTAGCCACCATCCCCCGGTCCGACGTCAGCCAATCGGCGGCGGTTGCCGCGGGACGACGCACCTCGCGGTCCAGCCCGGCGGCGATGGTGCTGATGACGCCCGTGGCGTTGTCGATGGTGAACGTGCGCTCCAAGGGCACCTTGGGGGCCTGCGACATGATCTTGTAGCGGATCATGCCGTTGGCCGTTAAGGCGTCGTCCTTGTCGCTCGCCTCGACCCTCATCACCGCCGTGCCTGCCGGGGGTGGGAGGGAGGGCAGGGCAGGGCAGGGGAGGGCAGAGGGGAAAAGCAGGGAGGGAGGCGTGGACGTCGTTACTATCAAAAAACAAAACATTATATTCGTTCGCATCACAACCACCACCATTCTTGTCATTCTCAACATCATCGTCGTTATCAAGAACATCCACGTCCATGTCCACGATCCAACATCCACGATCAAAGATATTATAAATAATGTCATCACAATCATAATGATTTAAACCAGCTTCACCTGTTAATCATAAACATCATTGCCATTGTTACCAACGTCACCACCATGCCTATTGCCACCTCTACCTCATTCACCACCAATATCCCCACTGCCACTACCACCACCATCACAACAACAACAACCGCCATTCGCCACTAAGTGGCGGTGACATCACCACGACGCTTGTGCCAGGCTATGTACACCTTGAGGCCACGTGAAGTGTCGAACGCCCGCTGGGAGGCGGTCACAGGGCAAACCCAGGTGCCACGGGTCGACTGAGACGACTGGCTGATGCACCACCTGTGCCCCCTACTGTGCCAACTTGCTGTGTTTTAGCCACCCGGCACTCCGCTTATTGTGAGTGTCGCTCCTCCGCCCTCCGTTGTTGTTGGAGGGCGGCTGCCTCCAACTGCCCAGTAGCGTCCTTCACGAGCCTCCTCCACAGAGGCCGATCTTGACACTGGCAAGTCCGCTTAGCTCCACATCCTCCTGTACCACATCACTCCATCTCTTCTCTAGCCCGTGACGCGCCTGTTTTATCTCCCTCGATCCGGCCGAACAAAAGCAGTTTCGGCATGCGGTGGCTGGGCATGCGGGCACCATGACACAGCTATATGCCGGAGGAGCTCACCGATGGGACTTTGTCCAGATCTTTCGAGGATACGTGAACTCCTCACACAATCCAGGCTGCCTGGTTAAACCCAGGATGAATCGTAGGCAGGCCAGCCTAAATGTTTTAAACCGGCGAAGATGTTCCATTCGGGGGGTCTACATTTCGCAAGCGGAGAGAAGGGAGCGAATGACCGTGGCCGAGAAGACCTGAAGCTTCGTGCAGAGCAACAGACCAGGTAGCTTCCACACGGCGTTGCGCAACCGATGAAAAGACATTGCCGCTCGACTGATTCAGAGTGAGACCTCTGCTGTCAAACCGGAGCTGGTCATGAGCACACTGCCCCGGTATGGGTAAACTCTCCACTCTCTCCACAACTGCCCCATCACCAATTGAGAGTTGCGGGGGTTGAGTGTCCGATGGTACAAAATACCCAGGCGGGCGCTATCACTATCACACCCCCGTCACCACCGCGCCCGTCTGTGCCCGTCCGCACGCCGCACCTGGTGGGGATCCCTCAGCCACGGAGCCCTGGAAAACGGGCGTGGCGAACTCGGGCCGGTTGTCGTTCATGTCGATGACGTTGATGACGAGCTTCACGGGGTTCTCCACCGGATGCCCCTTCATGTCCACCGCGTGGGCCTTGAGCTGCAGCGGGCACGCCACGCACACGCCACGCACACGCAACGCACACGCAACGCACACGCGCGTTACACGCAACGCACACACGCGTTACACGCAACGCACACGCGCGTTACACGCAACGCACGCAACGTGCGGCACACGCAAGAAAGCGCGCGGGGACTGGTCGTTGTTCTGCGCCCTGGTTCTCATCGCCATTGGAGCTGCCCTGAGCTGCCCCTGGGTCCCAGTCATTGGTGCCGCCCCCGATTGCCCGGCCGTGTAAACGTCGCCACTCTGGAGACAAAAGCGTGGGTGGGGTTGCTGGCCACCCACCCCGTCGTGCACAAATGTTGGCCTTTATGCGGTGCTCGCTAACAGCACTTGCCTCAACCGTCTACGACGCGCTATACAAGGGATCCTTTGTCCCTGCGTCTCGTTGTTGTTGCGGTGGTGGTGGTGTGGTTGTAGTCGCCGACGTTTGGATGTTTAGAGTTGGCCAAACATCCCTCTAGAGCGGCGGTTCTCTAAGGGTAGTACCTGGACCACCGACGATCTGGGACGGTACTCCTGGAGGTCCGCTGGGTTGCGATGCTGATTGCAGGTTGATCCGCAAATGTTTACGCCTTTTGTTTCGGACATTAATAGTTTACTCGTGATATTTAAAATTGAAAAATTAAATTAAGTAAACCACCTCGATTAAAACTACCCGAACCCTGAGATCTCAACCGTTAAAGCTGCGTTAACGTTCTTTTAATGTTCCGGTAATATGAATATAACTTAGTAATATTGGTATTTAGAGAAGTGAATGGTTTGTGTCACCAGGGGCAGGAGGGGGTTGCACCACGTAAATGTTTACACTGACCGAGTGGTCCGGGGACCAGGAAATTTGAGAAAACTCCGCAATAGAGGCCTGGACCTTACTACGCGAACACAAACACACACGTGGATGTGCTCACACACACACACGTGGGTGTGCTCGCTAACACACACACGTGGGTGTGCTCGCTAACACACACGTGGGTGTGCTCACTAACACACACGTGGGTGTGCTCGCTAACACACACACACACACGTGGGTGTGCTCGCTAACACACACACACACGTGGGTGTGCTCGCTAACACACACACACACACGTGGGTGTGCTCGCTAACACACACACACACGTGGGTGTGCTCGCTAACACACACACACACACGTGGGTGTGCTCGCTAACACACACGTGGGTGTGCTCACTAACACACACATGGGTGTGCTCGCTAACACACACACACACACGTGGGTGTGCTTGCGTGGGCGCCTCACCAGGTACTCTGCGATGAGCTCACGGTCCAGGGTCTTGGTGACCGAGAGGCGTCCGGTCACGGAGTTTACGACGAACACCCCCGTGGGGTTCTGGTCGGCGCCGGGCCCCACGATGCTGTAGCGGATTTTCCCGCGCGTGTTCGATTTGATCTGCGGGGGCGGACGCGGACGGGGTAGGGGAGGCGGCAGGGGGCGGCGTTACGCTCCGCGCGATAGCCACGCTCGTACATCGCGTGAATACGCGTACGCAAAGATACCCCGGATAGCCTTCAGCAGGCTGCCGGGACAAGCGCGGTTGGCGAGCGGCAGCAAATATGAAGGCTGGCGTGGCACACGAGGGGGTGCGATACGCGGTTACCAACACACCCGGCCGCCTTTATCTCCCCAGTGTGGAGACGGTTATACATCGCACCGTGTACTTAGTTGAGACCAAGTTCAGATAACTGTCACTGGGTGTTAGCCGTAAGTGGAAATCAAACTCACGTCTCCAGGTTCAGAGCGCAGTGTGTGCTAACCAATTCGCCACCGTTCCCCCAACATATATGCATGTACACACACACACAAACATCACATGCTGATACATGGCATGCTAAATACACCACGAACCCCAAAGACACATACACCACATGCCACACACACACATTCACCCTCACACTCACCAACGCGTGACATTCACACACTGCTCAACACGGGGTTGAACGTAGGCAGCAGGGCACCCGAGTTGGGGATCGAACCCAGGCCCCCCTTTCTTGCCGGTGTGGGAGGGGTGCGGGGGTAGAGGGGGCAAGGGGGGGAAGAGGGCAGGGGGACCTTCACCTGCACCAGCCCCTTGGGGAAGGGCCGCGGTCGTTCTCGGGGACGTTGATCGCCGGGATGAGCCAGCCGCGCTTCTGCCGGCGCCGCCTGCCGCTTCGCAGCCGGCGGAACGCGAGCACGCCGCCCTCGCCTCCGTGCGCCGCGCCCTCTTCCGCCCCCGCGGCGCCGACGCCCGCCTCCTCCTCCTGGCGCTCCTCCTCCTCCTCCTGGCACTCCGTCTCCCGCTTGGGTGTCCCCCCGTGCCTTCCCTGCGAGACGAAGCGGCGGCGGCGACTCCGTTGGGACGACGCTAACGGTGCCGCGATCGCCCCCCCCCCCCCTCTCTCTCACGCGCGACTTTGCGACCGCCGCTCCTCGCCGCTCGACAATCCAGCCGGGCCACCCCCACCCCCCCATTTCATCACGTGGGGGGGTGGGGGGGGGGGTAGCGCGGTCAACGTCACGAAGTTCACAAGCGACGTTGGTCGCGTTGGGCCACGCGTCGACGACACCGGCCGACCGTTTCCATTTGCCTCGGCCCCTGAACCTGAAGATTGCCGCGCGTGCCAAGTCGCTTACTTCACGTTTCCCCACGGTGGCGAGATGTTAACTACCTCGCCTGGTGTGCCGGAGGTCGTGGGTTCGATGCCGACGCTAACGGTGCCTGTGTATTTGGAGTTTGCGTGTTCTCCCCGTGGCCGTGTGGATTTTTCTCCGGTTCTTACAGGTTTTTACCTGCACATTTAGAGTCAACGTGCGCTTGGGAGTTGTTTGTGACGCTAAAGATGCCCACGTGATTAACCGCCTCATCGGGCTATCGTTTGTGGGCAGGACGCTTCTGAAAGCGAGCTACATAACCCAGTGGGGCTTTACCTGGTGAAATAAAACAAAAGTTTGAAATAGTTTAATTATACTCCGACCTCTAATCCGCAATTTCGAGGCGAAATTAATAACGGGCGTACCGTTAAGACGCTCATTTCACCCACGGCGATTCAATTTGCTTGGGGGTCCGATGGTGGGGGGTGTTCTTAACGACATAAATTTGGCCGGATCGTTGCGTGGCCTAAACCTGGAAAATAAACTCCGAATAGCAACGCCAGCTGCGGATAAAAAGGAACGCTTTTTCTTTGGTTCTTTCGGTAAAGTCACCACCACGTAGAATGAGAATAAAATAATTAAAATTTAATCAAATAACACAATAAAATTCCCACGTTTCAGCCACACCGCAAGTGGCCTTCTTCAGGTGAAAGGAACAGACCTGTCGGGACGACAGAGCTTCAAGTCGTCCCGACAGGTCTGTTCCTTCACCTGAAGGCCACTTGTGTTGTGGCCGAAACGTCGTGATAATTTTATCGTGTCATTTTATTAATTTATTATTTTATTCTCATTCTACGTGGTGACTTTACCGAAAGAACCAAAGAAGATGAATCCTTGCAGTCACGAAAGCTTTAAATCGAAAAATAAAAAGGTACACGTCAAAGTTAACGGCGAAGACGCGTCGCTCGCACCGTAACTGCGCTCACACAAGGCAGCAGTACCTCTACGTCAGTCTCAACCCTACCTCAAACGCTGCGTTCAGCCACTCCGGTTATACGGTTGGGGCGGGGGGGGTCAGAGGTCGTGGACTCAACGCCTGCTGCTTATTAGGCACGGCGCAAAGCTGCGTGGTGCAGGAAGTGATCCGTTAAGGCCGCGTGGAGCGGGGGGGGGGGGCATGGGAGGGGGGGGGGCAACAGCTGTGGTTGTGGCGGCGGTGGTGAGGGTGGCAGACGGAGGTGAGGACACTCGGACATTGTGCCAGCGAAGATTCCAAAGTGGCACCGTCACCCTCGCCACAGGTGCTGCTGGCAATGTTGGGTGGAGGGGGGGGTGGTGAGGTGGGAGGTTGGTGAGGTGGGGGGGTGGTGGGGTGGGGGGGTGGTGAGGTGGGGGGGTGGTGAGGTGGGACGTTGGTGAGGTGGGGGGGTGGTGAGGTGGGACGTTGGTGAGGTGGGGGGGTGGTGAGGTGGGACGTTGGTGAGGTGGGGGGGTGGTGGGGTGGGAGGTTGGTGGGGTGGGAGGTTGGTGGGGTGGGGGGGTGGTGGGGTGGGGGGTTGGTGGGGTGGGGGGTTGGTGAGGTGGGGGGGTGGTGAGGTGGGGGGGTGGTGGGGTGGGAGGTTGGTGGGGTGGGGGTTGGTGGGGTGGGGGGTTAGTGAGGTGGGGGGGTGGTGAGGTGGGGGGGTGGTGAGGTGGGGGGGTGGTGGGGTGGGAGGTTGGTGGGGTGGGGGGTTGGTGGGGTGGGGGGTTGGTGAGGTGGGGGGGTGGTGAGGTGGGGGGGTGGTGGGGTGGGGGGTGGGAGGTTGGTGGGGTGGTGGGGTGGGGGGTGGGAGGTTGGTGGGGTGGGGGGTGGTGAGGTGGTGGGTGGGAGGTGGTGGGGTGGGTGGTGAGGTGGGAGGTTGGTGGGGGGAAGCAGTGTAAGTGGTAGAGGGATGCGAAGTGGGGGGTCTGACGAACGAGCTCGAAAAGGGGATGAAGGGGATGAGGAGGACGCGTTTGGGGGTGTGAGGCCCCGTTACCTGAGACTCGCGGCTTTGTTCCTCCGCTCTCACCGCGCCAGCAGCAGCAGCAGCAGGGGTAGCAGCAGCAGCACCCTGGGGTACAGCCCCCTCATTTCGGGGGTTCCGTCTTCGCGGGCGGCGGGGGGGGGGTCCCTGAATCCCCTCAAGTTCGCCTCAGAGAAGGGAGCTCTCTCCCGTCTCAGCAAGGGGGTAGCGAGGGTGACTGCTGCTGCTGCCGCCGCCGTTTGCGAGGTCCCCGATTCGTGCTGTGGGCGGTGTTGGCGAGGGGGTTGTTCCCTGATCTCGGGAAGGGATCCCCGTGGCTCCGGGGGTCTGGCCGCTGTTGGGGTCCCGGGCTCGCTGGGGGCCTCTCGGCGACTACGCCCGCGGGAAAATGGCGCTGAGCGCTGGCGCGTGGGTGACGGAGAGGTGGGGGGTGGGGCAGCAGCTGGCGTGACGTCACTTCCCGTGTGACGAATGGCACCGCCCATTACCTAAGGGGGAGGGGGGGATAAAGGGCGGTGGTGGGGGCGTGTGTGTGTGTGCGTGAACGTGAGCGCGCGTGTGTGCGTGTGTGTGCGTGCGTGCGTGAGTGAGCGTGAGTGTGTGTGTGTGTGCGTGCGTGTGTGCGTGAGTGAGCGTGTGTGTGTGCGTGAACGTGAGCGCGTGTGTGTGCGTGTGTGTGTGCGTGCGTGAGTGAGCGTGTGTGTGTGCGTGTGTGTGTGTGCGTGTGTGCGTGAACGTGAGGGCGTGTGTGGGTGTGCGTGCGTGAGTGAGCGTGTGTGTGTGCGTGCGTGCGTGAGCGTGTGTGCGTGAACGTGAGCGCGTGTGTGTGCGTGTGTGTGTGCGTGTGTGCGTGAACGTGAGGGCGTGTGTGTGCGTGTGTGTGTGCGTGAGTGAGCGTGTGTGCGTGCGTGCGTGAGCGTGTGTGCGTGCGTGTGTGCGTGCATGTGTGCGTGTGTGTGCGTGAGTGAGCGTGAGCGTGTGTGCGTGCGTGTGTGCGTGAGTGAACGTGAGCGCGTGTGTGTGCGTGTGTGTGCGTGTGTGTGTGAGTGAGCGTGAGCGCGTGCGTGGGTGAGTGGGCGAGTGGGTGGGTGAGTAGGTGGGTGAGTGAGTGGGTGGGTGAGTGAGTGGGTGATTGAGTGGATACGTGAGCGAGTGAGTGGGTGGGTGAGTGGGTGGGTGGATGAGTGGGTAAGTGAGTGGGTAAGTGAGTGGGTGGGTGGCTGGGTCAGTGAGTGGGTGAGTGAGTGGGTGAGTGGGGGGACTCAACACTGCCTATAGACTCAACACTGCCACCTATAGACTCAACACTGCTACCCATAGACTCAACACTGCCCATAGACTCAACACTGCACCATAGACTCAACACTGCCCATAGACTCAACACTGCACCATAGACTCAACACTACCCATAGACTCAGCACTGCCTATAGACTCAACACTGCCCATAAACTCAGCACTGCCCATATACTCAACACGGCCCATAGACTAACACTGCCCAATTGCTCAACACTGCCCACCTCTCTCTCCCCGTGTCTCTTTCAATCCATGTCTCTCTCTACCCGTGTCTCTCTCTACCCGTGTCTCTCTCTACCCGTGTCTCTCTCTACCCGTGTCTCTCTCTACCCGTGTCTCTCTCTACCCGTGTCTCTCTCTACCCGTGTCTCTCTCTACCCGTGTCTCTCTCTCCCCGTGTCTCTCTCTCACCGTGTCCCACCACCCCGTGTCTCCTCCAGCTCGTGCCGCTGTCTCTCCGCCCCCTGCTCTCTCGCTGTCCGACCGCGCCGATGTCTGCCGGGCGCTGTCCGCCCAGGGCTGTCCACTCTTGGCCATGCTGTCTCCGTGTGCCTGATAAGCGATGATCGTGTCGGCAGGCAAGCCCAGCCTGCGCTTGTACACACGCCTAGATAGACAGAGACACACAGTGAGTGAGACACAGACAGTGAGAGACAGAGACACAGACAGAGACAGACAAAGAGAGAGACACAGACAGAGAGACGCAGACAGACACCGTCAGAAAGACACGGAGACAAAGACACGGTCAGAGAGACACGGCGAGAGAGATGAGACAAAGACACAGCCAGCATCGTCATTAGCATGGGTGGGTGAGTAGGTGGGTGAGTGAGTGGGTGAGTGAGTAGATGGGTAGTCGATGAGTGAGTAGCTGTTGGGTGAGTTGCTGTGTGAGTAGGTGAGTGAGTAGGTGAGTGAGTGGCTGAGTGGGTGGCTGAGTAGGTGATTGAGTGGCTGAGTGAGTAGGAAACTGAGTGGGAGAGTGAATGTGAGAGAGTAGATGAATGAGTGGCTGGGTGAGTGAGTGACTGAGCGAGTGGGTGAGTGATCGAGCGAGTGGTTGAGTGAGTGAGCGAGTGGTTGAGTGAGCGAGCGAGTGGGTGAGTGAGCGAGCGAGCAAGTAGGTGAGTGAATGGCTGAGTGAGTGGCTGAGTGAGCAATTGGGTGAGCGAGTGGGTGAGTGAATGAGTGGCTGAGTTGGTATATGAGTATGTGAGTGGGTGGGTGAGTATATGGGTTAGTTGGTGAGTGAGTAGGTGATTGAGTGGGTGAGTAGATGAGTGGGTGTAGGTGAGTGAGTGGGCGAGTGAGTAGGTGGGTGGTCGGTGAGTGAGTAGGTGGCTGAGTAGGTGGGTGAGTAGTGGGTGATTAGGTGACTAGGTGGGTGAGTAGGTGAGTGAGTAGGTGAGTTGGTGAGTATGTGAGTTGGTATGTGAGTTGGATGTGTCAGTAGGTGAGAGTCTCGCTCACCCGATGGTAATGACGGCCTCACTGCTGTCAGCGTTGGAGGTCCACAGGGCGATGCGGTCTCCCTTGTGTTCTCTGGTGTGTTACAAAATTATATGACTCTGAAAAGGCCTTCCTGCACAGAGTGCACTTGAAGGGTTTCTCTCCTGTGTCCTCTGGTGTTTTTGAAGATGTGGTGACTGTGCAAACTCTGTGTGTACACTGTGTGTCCACTCTGTGTGTGTACACTGTGTATACACTGTGTGTATACACTGTGTGTGCGTACACTGTGTTTGTGTGTATACACTGTGTGTGTGTACACTGTGTGTGTGTACACTGTGTGTATACACTGTGTGTATACTGTGTGTGTACACTGTTTGTATACACTGTGTGTGTACACTGTGTCCACTCTGTGTGTGTATACTGTGTGTGTGTACACTGTGTGTCCACTCTGTGTGTACACTGTGTGTGTACACTGTGTGTGTACACTGTTTGTATACACTGTGTGTGTACACTGTGTCCACTCTGTGTGTGTATACTGTGTGTGTGTACACTGTTTGTATATACTGTGTGTGTGTACACTGTGTCCACTCTGTGTGTGTACACTGTGCATACACTGTGTATACAGTGTGTGTGTGTACACTGTGTGTGTACACTGTGTATACTGTGTGTGTACACAATGTGTGTGTGTACACTGTGTGTGTGTAGTAGGGGGCACAGGTGGTGCATTGGTCAGTCATCTCAGTCAGTCGACCCATGGCATCTTTTCATCAATTTATTTTAAATTTATTATTTTTAATTATTTGTATTATTAAAATTTTAATTTATTATTTGTTTTCTATCTACGTGACTTTACCGAAAGAACCAGGAACATGGTAGCGCATTCTCTATTTGTTGCAGAGGTTCAAGGTTCAAATCCGACAGGCATATCTGGCTACCCCAGTAACATTCACCACAACATGCGCAGTCTGCTTAACAGCGGATGTCAAACAAACCACTGTCACTTACAACGCACATTGCATGTTGGTGTCACGGTCAAAATTGTGGCAATTCCAGTAACACTATCCAGAAACTCCACAAGGGAGATGACGCGTCAATGATCGCCCCTTACCGACAGACTCATGTCCACGTGCAGACCGGTGCAGGGCCACCTTGTGCCACACAGGGGCAGCTGCCACTAGGGGGCGACCTTCCATTGTTTGAGATGAGGTTCGATACGAAACACCGAGTTGCTGAGGCAATAAGGCAAGCGATTTATGATACCAGCCGCTCCTCCTGGGCAGGTTCGGTTACGTACGGTGCGAAATAAGTTCCAGATACACACACAGAGACTCACACAGATACACACACACAGAGACTCACACAGATACACACACAGAGACTCACACAGAGACTCACACAGATACACACACAGAGACTCACACAGATACACACACAGATACACACACAGAGACTCACACAGATACACACACAGACACAGATACACACACAGAGACTCACACAGATACACACACAGAGACTCACACAGAGACTCACACAGATACACACACAGACACAGATACACACACTCACACAGATACACACACAGAGACTCACACAGATACACACACAGAGACTCACACAGAGACCCATAGATTAACACGGTTGGCTAGGTATGGTGCGAAATAAGTTATATACAGAGACCCATGGATTAACACGGTTGGCTAGGTATGGTGCGAAAGAAGTTATATACACACAGAGACCCATGGATTAACACGGTTGGCTAGGTATGGTGCGAAAGTTACAGATAAACAAGTTTGAGTCGCGGGCCGTGGAAGTTGACCGGGGCGCGTGTTGCTACTGACAGTCGTTGAATACGGTTGGATAGACGCTGATAGAGAGACACACACACAGACAAGACAGGCGGACAGACACAGACAAGAGGAACACAGAGACGACAGACAGACACAGGCAGAAAGAAACACAGAGGCAAACAGATGACACAGACGGACAGAGAGATGTTGAATCGAACACACTGAACTTGCTCCATTGAAAGAGATTCCTCCATCTTCGCAATGCCCGGAAGTCGTTCTTATTTTTATTGATTTAATTGCGTGTGGTGTGTATGTGCAAGCAATGTGGGATATCGATGTACACAGATATGAACAAGATCAGCAGATAAGACGTCTTTAATTTAATCGGTCTCTCCACTAAACAAAGGAATGTTGAACACGAAATATAAATCCCACGGCCTTCCTGCGAGTCCATAATTACTGCAGCATTGCTTCAGTGCAAGCCAACTGTGGACCGGTTTTGGTGGACACTGTCTGTGTGTACACTATGTGTGTGTACACTGTGTGTGTGTACACTGTGTGTGTGTGTACACTGTGTG